TTTTTATTTATGTTTTTATATGTTTTAAATTATAACTGAATAATAAAACAATGAACTGCTTCTAGCTGGGCATTATAGCCAAGCCACTAGCAGGTATCTATGGGTCCAAGGCTCAAGCTCAGGAAAGCATTGTCTTAACTTTGTCTGCCCTCTAGTGGTCGTACAGGAAAACTGCATTCCATCCATGCTAAAGTGGTATTAGGTTGTGTGCGTGAACAGACATTTGGGGATGTTACCAGCAACAAAATGAAGAAAAACCACAAAAACAATAGGTTAGGTTATTTTCCATCAGTCCATATTAACAAGTTGGCATTTAGTGAAGGAGCTTGTCTTGTTAACGTAAATAGTTTGGAATTTAAAGAATTAAAATGACAGCAGACCTGGAATGAGTGATAAGATAAGAGAGCACAGAGAAGTAATCATGAGGAATAAAGGGAGACAGAAAGGGAGAATGGGAGACAGGAGTGAGATAAATGTCTATCCTAGCTCAAGGCAAGGGAAAGATTTTCCATTACCATTACAACCCTGTCTTTGTCTTCTCTTTGCCTTTTTCCATCTTTTCTTCTGTGCGTCTTCCTGTCTCTGTCTCTCTCACCGCCTGTGTCTCTCTAGTTAACAGCTGATTACTATTAGGGCTCCACAGAGGCTTTGTGTCCATTAGAATAGAACAAGGTGACAAACTGACACAGGCTGGTTTCGCCTCAGCTCCTGGTTCACATTACACACTATAAATGGGGTGTGTATATGTTTGTTTGCATTCACACACAAAAAAAATGAGTGTGATTAATTCTGTATATTGATGTGAATACATTTCCTTTTCACAATTCATTTCTAAATAATAGATGAAATATTAAGCAATTTAATGTGTGGTGCTATGATGTTTTCCCTAAATAATGCGTCTCTCTCCGGCCTTTCTAAACAGTTATACGACTGTCTCAAGACTTCCATAGTCCTTCACCTGGTTCAGTTTCCTTCCTAGAGCACAATTCCCTGGAAAGTGTCTTGTTTTCTTAGTGGCAGTACACACAGACACATTCCTGTCTCTGAAGTCATGGCCTGTTCTCGTGCACACTTCCGATCATAGTTGACAGCTGTCTACCGTCTCATTAGCTTACACTCTCACTCTGTCTCCATGTCTCTCTCTTTCTCACACACACATACACACACCTCCGTCCCACGTTCTTTTTTTTTCTAACATCCTTTCCGTCTCTAATATTACTTACACAGGCCTGCTGTGTGGCTTACATGCTTCTCACTTCATAGCAGTTACTGCTGAACCTGAGGGGGGGAGTGGGGGGCGTATTTTGACTCTCTGCAGCCTCCATAGCTCCCCATATAGTTGTGCGCAGGCAGGCAGAACTGCGGCGAGCGGAACTCTTGCTCCAGGGATTCCCAGTGAGAGGAAATATTCTTTCTAGAGTATGGAAATAATGTATTAAACCAGAGAATGTAATTGCCATACAAGAAAGGATGGTACTGAGTCTTTCGGACTAAGCAAGGACATTTTAACTCGAGGGATTGACTTCTGCGATGCTTCCCCAGGTAACCTGAGCATTGGAAACTTGATTTAGTAATGGAAAGAAATAATACTAGCTGAGCTGTTGTGACCTTTTGTCTCTAGTATGGAAAATATCAGAACATTCAATTTGTGCATTTATTTGAACCAATTTTAAAACATGTGCATGTATGTGAGGAAATGAAATGTCAGAATCAATATGACGACAAACTTTACTGGTTTTGATAGTTAACGTCTGACTCTACTAGAAATGTACCTAAAATTGGTGTATGGTTTGAAATGGCTGCTCTGTTAGTCGTCTGTTTAATGTATCTCACCATGTTAATTTTATATATTGAGTGCACATATCTGCACCACTATAGGGCTTTATAAAAAGGTGTGCAGTTTGATAACATAGAGTTATGCTTTATTTGTGCTGTGTGTAAGAGGCAGTTGACAGACTGAGTTTAGACCCCCCCCCCCCCCNNCCCCCCCCAAAAAAAGGACAACTTAATGCCTATTCACTCAAAACTACACTTTTTAAATAACCTACCCTAGACAGCACCGTAAAGTATGCCACCACTACATTAACTCACACTTGTATGTGTTTGTCTATACGTGTGTGCTCATCTCAGGAGCGACAGAGGCTAGAGACCATCTTGTCTCTGTGTTCGGAGCTGGGCCGGGCTGAGAGAGATGGAGGTGGCCCAACAACAAGTCCCACTTCCGCTGTGGCAGATCTCCAAAAGATCAACCAGGAGCTTGAGAAGCTTCAGCTGAACGACGACGATGATGACGACATGCCATCTGTCTTTTCGGACTCTTCAGCTGTTAATGGACACATGGCCTCCCCTGGATCAGAGAATTGCTACTATGATGATGATCTACAGGTACGACGGAGACGCAGCAGCGGTCACCGAGACAACAGGGCAGAGTCACCCACTGTCAGTCTGCGAAGCTACGCTCCCTCACCTTCTCCGCGCATGCAGAGGACCAATGAGGTACAAGAGATATGACATTTATTATATGTTCACATAAGGTTGAAGGCTAATGTAAAATCTTAAGCAGTGCATGTATTTCTTTTAGGGTTGGGACATTTGTTTAATGTCATTGGCAATCAAATTAATTTCAACAGACCACATTACTCATTTAAAAAAGTATATAATAATAATAAAATAATAATGTAAAAATTATCATATCTCAATCACAATAATATAAAATAATTCCAATACCATGTTTTTACCATATTGTGCATCATACGCACGTGACAATTGTACAAGACTGCTAACGTAGCACCTTTGACTTCGGCCAGCTTTTTAAAAGATTAATCAGCATTAATGTGGGAAGTGTTTATGCTTCCTGTTCTGTCTGGAAAACATGAGAGTGACAAGGATCACTCCTCTTAATGCTCGAAAAGTATCGACGTACACATCCTTCACACACACAGATGGGAGATATTTACAGCCCATTTATTAGATTATAGCAGGCTAAGTGTTACCATTTAGAGTTGGCAGCTGGTGTTTGTGTGTGGGTAAATGTGTGCTCGTGTCTGCTCACATTTTGTTGTCGTAAAATAACTCGCACACATTCAAATATTATTTAGCTGTAATATTAAATTTAGATTTTTTTTCCCCCCATAAGCATGTCTAGCAAGGAACAAGTGATGGAAGTGAACCCCCAATTTAAGTTTTAACTATGCCTTAACAATGGTTCAATCTGTGACTGTGTTGATGATGCTGCTACCAGGCTCTAGATGATGCAGCTCGTCGCCGAGGATTGGAAATGAGGCCCTCTGAGGAGGAAGTGAGACGTGTGGAAGAGGAGAGGATCCAGGTCCTGAACAACATGGAGGAGCTGGAGCAAAAGATCAAAGAGCTGGACAACCAAGTGGAGGAATCTGCCCGAGAGGTAAAGAGAAGACACAGTGTTAAAATATTAACAATTCATAGTTTAATGTTAACTCTAAAGAGAAGAGAAGAATTATACCTCTTTTTAATTCAGTAACACATTTTGTAAGTGAAAATCACACCTTAGAGGTAGTGTTATGTACAGGTTTTAATAACGGTAAGGATAAAACGAGAATTTAAAATCACTTCTGTTCAGAAAAAGAACCTGAGAGACCCAGAATCACTACAATGGCTTAATAATTGGTGTGTGTTTATCTAAGGTGGAGGTTGAGCGAGCTCTTGTGGAGGCTGAGATGGAGTCAGAGGTAGCTGCTCTCCAGCAGGAAAAAGATACTCTGGAAACACTTCACAACAAGATGGCTGACCTAGAGACCAAGTCCCAGCAGGAAAAAGAAAAGGTATTCAACAGACTACGCTTCATTGTAAAACAGTGAGAGGAAGAGGGACACTCAGAGATTCATAGTGCCTGTTAACACAATAGTGGGTTAAAAGACGAGAGGACAGTTGAAATGCAGAGAGCATTAGTCCCGGACGTTTAAGGATGCATCTTCTGCAAATTGAATTTCTCTGAGGGCCTGGTGAGTGATAGTGGTATCGGGCCGAGAGGAGAACCATAATGTAGTGTTTCGTCCTCAAACATGTACAGAAAACATGGGTTTTAATCAGCAACCTGCCTTTCCCTTCCAAAGGTGTATGTGTGCATGTGGTTTTAAAAATGCATACACCGCTGCGAGACTCTCATACATGTAGGGGTCATGTGACTTAACTGGTAGGTGTTAATCCTTCTCATGCTGTCTCTGGTCCAAATATATATCTGTTAATGCTGCCCGGGGTATAGCGGTCACCAAGT